TTCTATCTGTACTCCATCAGGACTTTCTAAAACACGAACAAAGCAGAAGTTTAGATATAAATCCAGTGACTAGGACAGGTACTTCACAGGAAAGGACACCCACATGGCAACCACAGACACAGATGCACGGCCTCATTGCTTATGACAGAAACGCAAATGAAAACCTCACCGAGATATTGCTACACACCCATCAGAAGGGCTAAAGCGGAAAAGACAGACAGCATCAAGCTCCGGGGAGGCTGGGAGCAGGTGGAAGCTCGCTGCAGTCAGGGCAGCGTCAGTGGCGTAGCTGCTCCAAAAAACCTGGCCCATATTCGGTCACACACGCGCTGGGAGCCAACATGCACCTGCACGCACACCCAGCACACGCGCTCGGGAAACACACACTCTAGGATAGATGTCCTTTCTGTAAACAGACAGTTGAGTCTCTCTGAGCTCCTGTGGCAGGACCGGCTCCAGCCAGGGGCCCAAGTGCCTGGGGCACCCCCAGCAGAGCAGGGAAGCACAAAGGTTTGCTGAGATGAACAGGACCACAGGCAGCAGATCTGCCGCTTTCGTTGGGAGCAGATGACAGGCAGCATCAGGTAGGAGGAAGAGCAAGAGGCCAGCTGAGTGGCACTTTTTCTTTTTTTGCTCTGCTCTACTAAATGCAGATAGATCAGAAGATAAAAGTCAGCAAGCGGTTCAGACCACCTCGCCATCCAGAGACACAGTGATTTCAGCTGAGAGCCGGCAGTTATGCCTCCTGATCCTGCACCAAGAGCTCCGAGGAGCGAGCAGGGCACACACTCAAGATTTCAAAAGTGGTTCAGGGCTGCTAACACCCCTGCAGGGCAACAGATGTCCTCTGAAAGGTGCCCAAGTAACTCATATAACTTAGACTCAAGCATAGAAAACTGTAATTTCTAAAAGCTATCCATGTGAACGCCAGGTACGTTGAAAACACACCTACAGGGGTTTCACTGTGGGATTACAGGCACATAATTTCATTCCCCCCAGTCTTAGAAGGTGGGATGCCTTCCTTGCTGATGCTCAGGGGGTGACCCTGGGTCAGGACCCTGATGCATCCCTGCTTCTAAGATCCGCTCACCTTCTCATCCTTCTTGTGTTCTGACAGAGCTGGCTTGTCACACGAGATCACCGGAGCCTTTTCTCCCACCCCCTACTTCCCAGCCCGCCCTACACAAGCCTCCTGATGGGTACCAGGATTGGCAGTAGAGACGAACTCTCTGCCTTGCAGTCTTTCAGTGAAAACTTCCACCGACAGCGACACAAATTACGGCAGGAAAGGACAAGCTTAGGAAGCTGCATTAAAAACACGGATGGTCCCCAAAGCCTTGATGTCAGCTGGCAAGAAACAGAAATTCCAATCGCTGTAAAGCCCAAGACTAGAGGAAAAAAACAGAGGGCGGGGACTCTCTTGCCAGTATTTTTGGACAGTGAATAAACCAGCTGCAGGAGACGGGAAAGGAGCCAGGAATATAGAGTGAAGGGGGTGGGGAGAGGGTGGTGGGAGCCTTCCAAGTCCGAGATGTACGTAGCGGTGAGATTTGGACATCCTTGGGAAATTTCAAGACAGTGAGCCTGGTGATTTAAGGAGTGAGCCAGGGAGAGGACCCTGTTTTGGTCAGTGCTTGGCTCCGGGGCCTCCATCAGCTGTGCTTTGTAACAATCACCACATCAGGCCATTCTGCAAAAGCAGGCTGACAACTGCAGCCTGGACTTCATTAAAGCTTGTCTGCCTCCTGCATCTCCGCGGGAAGCACCGGGACCACTGCGAAGCAACCCCTCGCCCCTCAAGGCCAGCCCCTTCTCCTCCCATTCCTCCGGGCGGTTCTCGAAGGTGAGAAACCTTGCAGAAAACTACAGGGGAAAGAGAGCCTGTCACTTCTGTTCAGAACAGGAAATGCAGCTATGTGGTTATTGTGAAAGACTGGATGGAAAGGAAGACTACCAAAGCGTCAATACTATAGGAGCTAAAACATCTTGTTCCTCTCACTTGGAATAAACAAGGCTGGATGCTCTTGAGAGGGCGCCTAGCACCTCTAGCTGTGAGTACAGCCTCGCTGGGGCAGGGCGGGCACCGGCAGAGATGGCCCTGGTGCGCGGGGGGCCCCGGCCCCCATCCCTGGCTGCTCACAGCCTGTGGGCCTCGTGGAGGCAAAATACAAGGGAAGGGGCCTACCTGGTAATCCACCTTCCTGGCATAATAAATTACAATCACCTTTGTGTTTAAGAGGAAATGACAATATTAGGTGTGTGTTTTGAGGCACTAGAGAAGCAGAGGGATGGCGTTCTCTCAGACACATGTGTCCAGGCGGGAAGGTGGTCAGGCACATGTTACGGGGACTGGTCTGCTGCAGGCATGGAGGGAGGATGGGGCCCAGAAGGTGCGGCTTTCCTGGAGCTCAGAGGCCAGAGGGGGAGGACGCAGTGAAAACAAGTGAGCAAATCCATGTGAGTAGTCACAAACCATCCTAATACCTGTAACGTTAAGAAAGGGCACAGAGTGCAAGTGGGGAGCGGGCATCTGCCGCTGGCCAGGGGCTCAGGGGAGGAGGCCTGTCCCAGGAGGAGACACAAAGAGGGGAAGAAGCACCAACCAAGGTCTGGAGGTGGGAGCCTTGTGTCTGGGAACAGAAAGGAGGTTCAGTGGGCTGAATGAGGGGAAGATAAACCCACCCAGAACCTGCAAATGTGACCAGGTAGACATAATTAAGGATCTCTTAATGATGAGATGAGATCAGCCTGGATTAGGGTGGGCCCTAGACCCCATGGCACGTGTCCTGGGAAGAGGAGAGAGGGTGTAAGGGCACAGAGGAGACACCAGTGAGGATGGAGGCGGAGGCTGGAGCAGTCAGTCTACGGGGCGGAGGTGGCTGCAGCCACCAGAAGCCAGGGGACAGGCAAGGAATGGACTCTCCTTCAGAGTTTCAAGGAGGAATCAGTCCTGTGACATCTTGATTTCAGACTTCTGGTTTCCAGAATGGGGAGAGGACACACTTCTGTTTTACGACACCACGTTGTGACACTTTATTACGGCAGCCACAGGGAGCTCATTCAGAAGCCATGGTCACACCTGCTCAGCACTGATCACGTCTTATTCTTGCAAGGGTTGCTATCACCTGAACACAATCCCACTGCTGACCGTCTTGTTCTGGCTCTGAAGCCTGGCTCCTACGATACCACGCCAGCACCCTCTAATGGGGGAAACTGAGGCCCAGAGAGAGAAGGGTCTTTCTTGAGGTCACATGACCAATAACCAACCAAGCCAAGCCCAAATCTCCACACCGTGATTCCAATCCCAGAGCTCTTTTCTTGGGCCCAGAGGTGGAACTATTGTAACTTCATCACAGAGCAATGGAAAAACTGAAACCACGATTAATTTCTTACCACTTAGCTAAATAGGTTTTCTAATCAGTTGCCCACCTACGGTGGTTAATTTTATGTGTTGACTGGCCACGGGTGCCCAGACTGTAAGTTATTTCTGGGTGTGTCTGGGAGGGTGTTTCTGGAGGAGATTAGCATCTGGATGGGTGGACTCCTAAAGCAGGCGCCCTCCCCAGTGTGCGTGGGTCCCTTCCAACCTGCCCAGGGCCTGAAGAGAACAAAAGGCAAAAGGAGGGCCTCTCTGTTTGAGCTGGGACGTCTCGTCTCATCTCCTCCGGCCCTTGGACTGGGCACAGCTTGGACATTCATCCCCTGGGCTCCCCTGGTTCTCAGGCCTTCAGACTCAGACTGAATCATACATGGGCCTCCAGCGGGTGTGGTGGGGCTTCTCAGCCTTCATAACCACGTGACCCGATTCCTTATAATAGATCGTGTATCTTTAAATCCTATAAATCCTAACACACCACCTAGGCTTTCCATTGAGAATTCACTTCTAAAAGATTAAATACACACCCACGAGGTGTCAGGCACTCTGCTGGGTGCTGGAGGGAAACGTTTTAATAAGACACAATACATAGTGCCAATTCTTAGAGCACTGCCAGCAAACACGGTGTTCTTGGTCTTGACTAAATTGTGAGTCTACGTTTTCCTTTAATCTGGAGGTTCTCAACCTTGGCTGGGCATTGGAATTTGTCTGGGGAGATTCGACACCTCTGATTCCTGGGCGCCACCCCTGGAGTTTGTGATTTAACTGGTCTGGGATATAGCTGAGGCATCAGCATTTTAAAACACAAGATGGGTTTGCTAATTATTCATCAATACGAGTTAATTGTGGATAGAAATCATTTCCTTTTAGTCAATTTATAATTCACTCATTTTCAAAATTAACGTGGTGTGGCTGACAGCACACAAGATGTAAAAAGAGATTATTCTAAGAAATGTTGAAAACGGGGAATTTCAGGAGACGAAGAGAAAAAAAAAATCTGTGATAAAGAAATTATTACAATTGGGCATAAGATCTAGCCCTGAGTTTTTTGGAGCAAATGTGTAAAGGTGAACAAGGGTCACGGTGTCATCACAATTGATTAAAACAAAAAAAGCCTATGGTGAAAAAAACCAAAAAACTATGCTCTGCCTAACATTTCTAACAGGACAGGTGAAAGATACTTGGATAAAAGAGAACGGAACCCACAAATGCTTGTGACTCATCAACCGCCAGGCTGCTCCCAAACCAGCTCATTTGAAGGTCAGCTTCATTTTCCTGATGGTCTGCAGGCTGCCCTGGGCTGACTCTCGTCTAAGGCTGCTGTGAATCAGGACAGGAGGAGCTGTCATCCAGCTGTCTCGGGAAACCAGTCTCCCAAGGCCCACACAAGGAAGAGGAAGGAGCCAGCTCCCTGCATCACTTACCGCGTCTGTTACAGAACGAGCCCTGTTTAAGCCGAGATGCTTGGAGGCACACCACGCCCCTGCACTGGACCTGTGGTTCAAGTTCACTTTCCCTCCACTCAAGAGTCTCAGTGGGAGACAGAGCCTGCTTTACTAAGGCGGCGAGAGCCGCAGTTCGGACACCCCGATGGCTCGAGGCGCCCTGGAGAAGGGGGACTTACGGAGGGTTGTCGCATTTCCTCTGCCGGAAGCGGGCTCCCGTCCCGCACGTGCGGCTGCACATGCTCCAGGCGCCCCACGGGCTCCAGTCTCCGTCCACGTGCTCCGGGATGGGCGTCTTGCTCACGCACTCCCCCGCGCGGCACCACTGAAACACAGCAGGGCGGCCGGGGGTGGGGGCCACTCAGCTCCGCGGCAAACCTGCTCACACGCCCGCCCGCTCGTAGCTGCGACTCCCTCCATGCGAAAAACCACCGGGCCGCCCAAACCTGATTTTTGTAATTTACACAAAAGTAGACTATTTCAGGGTGTGCCAGTTTGCTCACTCCGGTGACATTCGTTACATACCAACCTGACACCTCTGTCTCTCTGGGGTTTGGATTTTGCCCTAAACTTCCACATGGATGTGCTCAATGGAGAGTCTCTAAATTCCAAGAAAAAGGATTCATCCACATGGCTCATGGAGAGATCTGATCTTCTGCAAACTGTTTAATGTGAGTCTCTCTCTGGAAGGCAGTATTTCCTGGCTCTGCAGTTTTGAACTTCAGGGTTGAGTTTGGTCCCTGGAGATGACACAGCTGGCTCCATGTGGGGGAACCTTGCCCTTGCTGTGTATAAGAGAAAGCCAATCCTCTAAAACAAGTTCCCAGTGTGTGTGGCACAAACCCTGGGGCAGGAGACGTGATTCAGTGGTTCCCAATCACAGCATCTCTCTCAATCCTTAAAGAAGACTAAAGACAAAAGTCTTGGACTGTGGCTGCTGGCTCTGAACACCTCTTCAAACACTGGCCAAACTGTCTTGTTAGTGAAGATCATGACAAAGGCTCACTCTCTCAACATCTAGCTAGAATTGGATAGCAGTGTTCTCATTAAAATTGTTTTATGATACCTTTTGTGTACGTTAAAGATCCTATTTCTTCATTTATAATCCACCGATGTAAAAGTTTCAAGTAAATTCACATATGTAACAAAAGGAGTTAATTTAACAAAAATATTAACTCAATGATTCTTATATCTTATAAGAAAAAAAGGAGAGAGGTGATATAGGTGTCCCTCTGTGCCCGGAGTGGGCTCCCCATTTCTGGGGTGGCCCAGGGGGCGCTTCAGGGGCTCCTGAGTGCAGTGCAGACCACCTTTCAGGAGAGGCGCCCAATGCCCAGGGGACATGGGCTGCCTGCTGGGGACAGTGGGAAGCGAGGTTACCTTGTCTGCCCCACACTCTGTGCCGTCCAGGGGAGGGTCCAGTTTGGTCTTGCAGGACGTATCTCCTTCCACCAGGCACCACAGTCCAGCGCACATCAGATGCTGCTGACAAGGGAAGGAGTGTAACTGCCAAGAACCCCGCACGCAGGTTACAGTGGGGTTGGAAGGCGGGGCCCAAAGACCGGTGTGGTATTTGAAACATGAGAGGAAGAAAGGAGGGTCATGAATCTGGATGTCATAAAAAAATACATGCATCATGTCAACTAGTCTATTCAGCTCAGCAAAATTCCGTGCATTTACTCCTAGGAGCCCTGTGCCACGGGGGTTTGGCTCAGCGGTTCCACCACTAGCTACTGAGGGCCTAGCAGGTGTCCAAGGCAGGTTGCAGCTGGGGAGCCATTAACAAGCAGACAGTTGCCATTTACTGTAGGGACGAACAAGGTGGCTTCCCAGAGGTCGTACAGAGCACGTGGGAAAGACCCTCACCACCCGAGCCGCCTCAGGGAGCGCTTGCTCTGGAGCCGAGGCTGGTGCAGCTTTACGCAGCCTCCGAAGTGAGAGCCCCCCGTGGGGTTAAAGGGGCTCAATCCTCCCCGGGGCAACCTGCCTTCTAGCTCAGTTGAGCTACTCAATTTCTTTTCTTTCTTTCTTTTTTTGCAAGTAATGTAAACTTCTATTGAATTCCCTTGGAAAGTACCACGGGGATCATCCATCTCATTCAACCAACTCTCTGAAAATCCCCTTTCACTACCTTCCTTTCCTCTATATCTTATGTGGCTCAACAGACACGCCACCCTTGACCTCTGTCCTCTGTTCTCTCAGTTCTCCCTCAACCAGCTCAACCAGTACCAGCCCAGCCCCCTCTCTTCCTGGCCTCTTGTCAGTTTATTTCTCTCTGTCTCCAGACACTCTTGGCATCTTCGAAGGTGGATCGAGGTGTTGCTCTGGGTATCTCTGATTTCTCCTCCCTGTCTCTCACCCCGCTCAGCACAGTGGACACCAGGCTGGACCACTGCCACAGCAGCAAAGCCTCCTTCTTTAGCCTTACGGTCAGGGCAAGCATGGAAGATCGTGATCTCTTATGGTATTTCATCCAGAGAGTTTCTTACCATCCACAATTAAAATAATTCTACTAAAACAGGAGTAGGCATTTAAAAACACACACTTCCATTGGTATTAACAGGAAACTTGGAAATGGGCAAAGTGCTCAGAATGAGACAATGTATCAAAATAACAAGCAGGCGTGACCCGTGTCCTCCCCATCTGCCTCAGTCTCCCCTGCAGCCTCAGGGCAGACACCATCCATGCACTGACTGCTGCTTCCCTGGTCTCCCTTCTGGAAGCCGTCCTCTGGCTGGGAAGCAACCTCAACCACAGGGGTGGGGGCTGGATGCCCATCACTTGGGTGGGATGGCTGTAAGGCAAGTTGCACATGTCTCTCAGAAGGTCCCGGGGCGGCCCAGTTGTCCACAGTCCGCCTGCCCATCAGCGCACCTTTCTTGACACCCCCTCACTTCCTAGCCCCCTCCCAGTGCTTCCTGGGATCACTTCCCAGATAAACTCCTTGCACCCAAACCCTTGCCTCGTGGTCTGAAAATTGAGAACAGATGTATTTCAGGCCCTTTGAAAGACGCAGTACTTCCAGGATGCCAAACCCAATCACGATGAAAAGGTCTGAGGCGGAGGAGGAGATGTCATCCTCCAGGGCGCAGCCGGGGGACCGCAGTACAGGTCGGGCAGGGGGAGGCCAAGGGTCCCCGTGCACAGCTCAGAGTGGTCCCCGCGGGGCTCACGAGGGTGTGGGGGCTCAGGACAGAGGCCTGCTGTTCCAAGTAATCACAAACACCTGCACAGAGGAGAAGTGCAACTGTGCTGTCCAAAATCAGAGGATGTTTAGACGCTGAAGAGACAGAAACAAAGGAGCAAAGGGGAGGGAAGGCAGAGCCTGAGGGCTCGACAATGCGTTCAGAGAAGCCCACAGCTCCTTCTCATTTTTCAAGTATGTCGGAGCTGCTCTGTGCCCTTAAAGAAGTTAATGAGTCAAGCGGAATTTTGCACTTTTGGGTTCAGAAAAGCCCCACGTTCCCATTATTGTCTGCCTCTCGACAGAGCGGCAACAAGACGAGAGGCTGGAGCATCGCACCAGCTGGTCCCACAAAGACTGACTGCACTTCGTGAAGTGTTTGATCTTCTGCACTTTGACCCAGGAGCTCTTTCAGAGCGTGGTGTCAGCGTGTGGACACGTGTTCAGGAGCCCAGGCGGACCTGGGAGGACCATTTATGGGGCAGGAATGCTTGAGATTAGGAGACCCAACTACCCCTTAGGAGAGAGAGGAAGACGGTGGTGTAAACTGTCTGTTATGCACGTTACAGACAGTGCTTTCTGATAGCTTTTCTAATCACCAAAGAAAAGGAGAATGAGGTCGGGCAAAGATTTCTTAAACAGAACCCCAAAATTACTAACTAGAAAGGAAAAAAGATTAATGAATTATACTGTATTAAATATTAAAATGAGCTGCGGTGGGGAATCGTTAAAATGAAGAACCTCAGTTTATCCAAAAACAACTGCGGGAAAGTGAGAGAAGATATTTGCAATACACGGGAGAGAGATTTGTAAGGCATGGAACCAACAAAGGATTTGTATCCAGAATATATACAAAAAAACAAAAAGCCAAAAACTCCTACAGATCAATTAAGAAAAAGACCCAATAGAAAAACAGCAAAAGAATGTGAAATCGAACATATGTATGTATATGTGTGCCTGAACTATTATGCTGTGCACTAGAAACAGACACAATGTTGTAAACTGATTATACCTGAATTTTAAAAAAAATCCAACAAACAAACAAACAAAAACTGGCAAAAGACTTCAACACTTCACAGTAAAGGATATCCAAACATACAGGACTGGGAGAAAACACATGAAAATGTGCTCAGTTTCTCATCAGAGAAAAGCAAGTTAAAACCAACCAGTTACCTCTTCATACCCACCAAAGTGGCTGGAACAAAAGAGATGGAAGTAAAGTGAGGCTGGATCCCTACCTCACGCCTTACACTAAAATAAATGACTGTTGGATTAAGGATTTAAACATAAAAATTAAACCATAAAGGTACGAGAAGAAACCATCAGAATTAAGTTTATTTACAGTTTCAGAGTGGGAATGACTTTTCTAAACATGGCACAAAACCCAGAAGCCTTAAAACGGATTGATGTGTTTCACTCTGCACGCACACATACACACTTCTGCCTGACATAAAATGATAAACAAAGTTAAAAACTAAATGAACCGGGGGGGAAAAAAGAACATTTACAACTCATATTTCAGCTAAAGGGCCAACTTCCTTAATATGTAAAACTTCTAATAAATTACTTTAAAAAAATCAATAATCCAAGATAAAAAAGATTTAAGAAGACAGATCACAGAAAATTGAACACAACTGGCTTGTTAATATGTGAAGAAGTGCTTCAACTTACTAACAGAGAAATGCCATTCAACCTGCCACAGGCTCATTTCTGAAGCATTCAGACAAGCGCAGATCTGAAAGACTGAGAGTTTTGATTTGCATTTCTCTAATAATTAGCAATATTGAGTGTTTTTTCATGTGCCTGTTAGCCATTTGTATGTCTTCTTTGGAAGCATTCTTTTGTTGTTTAGGTCCTCTGCCCATTTTTTGTTCTTCTTGTTGTTATTATTCTGGAAGTTTAACTTTTGTCAGTTGCATCATTTGCAAGTATTTTCTCCCTCTCTGTAGGTTGTTGTTTTGTTTTGCTTATGGTTTCCTTTGCTGTGCAAAAGCTTGTAAGTTTAATTAGGTCCCATTTGTTTATTTTTGCTTTTATTTCTATTGCGGGGGTAGACGGCCCTAGGAGAACGTTGCTAAGATTTATGTCAAGAAAGTTTTGCCTATGTTTTCTTCTAGGAAGTTTATAGGGAACTCCAATTCAAAAAGGCACATGCACCCCAAGGTTCATAGCAGCACTATTTACAATAGCCAAGGCATGGAAGCAACCTAAATGTCCATTGACAAATGATTGGATAAAGAAGATGGCTTATTCAGGAAACAAAATCCTTCTGAAAAATCACACTGATGACCAAATGTCTTTGGTAGAACTGATCTTTGCTATAATTACTCAGTGCCCAGAGCACATATTTACAAAGAATCGATCAGATGAATTAGAAGTGGCAAATGTGGCTCTTCCAGAGTGAATTCTTTCTCTCCATCCTCAATGCCACTGCCGTTACAGCCTCTTCCTCTCTGAGCTGGACAACTGCGATAGTTTCTCACAGATCTTGACTGCAGTCTTTTTTCATGCTCAACATGCCTGCAAAATCTTCCAAAAACACAGATCTCCACTTAAACCATCCACATTCCCCCAGGACTCAGTTAAAACCGCAACAGCAGAGCCCCACATTATTTAGCTCCTGCCCCCTCCTCTCTCTGCCTTCTCCACGGACCCCTGTCCTACCTGCACCTGACATCCCACATCCCACAGACCCTCCGTGCCCCTGCAAAGCCTCCTGCTGCTGCCTCCAGGGCCCTCCCTGGCCCTGGCCCAGGCCTGCCTCTCTGCAGGCTGTTCTGCACCCTGCTGGAGACATTAGGGGACCCTGCTGCTTGCCTTCAGAGAGCTCAGGCCAGGGAAGGGACTAGAACTGAAGTAAATGATCTTAACAGAGAGGAAGTAAGTCACCTGCCACATTCTTCCAAGCCAAGTCCAAGAGCCCCACCCTTGAGAAGTCTTTCCTCCTTCTCTCTGTTCCGAATAGGAAGAACCCATCAAGGTTCTAAGAGCACTCCAGCTTAACTGGTCCTCGGGGTAACAGCCCCATGGCTCTCACCTCCTGCGCCTCCATCCTGAACTCCTGGGGGCCAGCGGCCATGTCTTACCACCTCCTCAGATCATTACCACACATCCAGCAGCACATGGTACAGACCCCAAGAAGACTTGTTGAGCAACTGAATGAACAAATGAGCAAATAAATACATTCACACAGAAAGCAATGCGCCACTTCAGTACAGTGAGAAAAAAGCTGACATCCTCTGGGCATCCACCCATCCGGGCATCAGGCTAAGTGCTTTACCAGAATTCTTTCATGACCACT